AATGGCCGGCAAGGCTGCAAGGGTGGGTAAGAACAACTTGTAAATGCTTTGCTCCTTCATTGAAAAAAGTGTGGATTTTAAAGATGACCATTTTACACACACACACAAAATAAAGATAAATAAATAAACAAATAATTTCATTGTATGTCAAATTAATATAATCCCCAAGCAAAATATAACACTCTTCAGTATTCAAAGAAAAACAATTTTCTTCCAAAATACCCATCCTCATTTTAGAAACAAACTATCACAAGGGTAAATACTAAATCTTGGCTTTACAACAAGTGAGAAAGTTGTGCTTTAATCCCTACAGATTATATCACACTCAAACTCAAAAACTCTTCCAATACTTGAAGACACATTCAAAAAAGACAAACAAAGCAACAAGATTAATCAAACAATTTCAAACATTAAACAAAACACCATGACAATAAGAAAAGTAAACACTCTGGCAAGTTTATTTCCTTTACTAAATCACATTAAAAGAAAGAACCCCATGGCTTAGTCTTGTCATTCACCTGCATTTTATCCATTTCATTTACATCAACTTTGATCTAACATCTCTCATATTTTCAAGATACATTTAATCCTCCCTAAACAATTATTCTTTCCCCCTTCAATTATTAACGTAATTCCCCCTAATCAACCTATTTCATTCCCTCTAACAAAGCTATCTCATTCCCTCCAACCAATCTATTTCACCCCCCTCTTACCACTTCACTTCAATCTCTCTTTCAACCTATTTTATCCCCATTTGCTAACCAGTTTTATCACCCCTAAGCAACCATTCCTCTCCTCTAACTGACTGGTTTCCTTCCCTGTAATAGATTTCCTCCTCTCAAACCAACCTATTTCATCCCTTTCGTTCAGTTTAACTCGTTCTAACCATTCTATTTCATCAACTCGAATCAATCAATTTCATTCCTCAAACCAATCTTTATTTCATCCATTCTAACCAATCTATGCCAATATATTTCATCCTACCTAACCAATAAATTCTATCCCCTCTATCCACCCTGCTCTATCCCCTCTAAACCAATGAATTTCATCCCCTGCATCTGACCTGTTCTATCTCCTCTAACCTACAAATTTCATCCCTATTAGCCAATCAGTTTCCATCCCTCTAGCCAATTTATTTTCTTCAACTCTAGCTCATCATTTCATTCTCTCTGACCCATCAATTTCATTCCTTCTAGCCGATTATATTCTATCACCTCCAACTAGTTCGTTTTATTCCCTTTAACCAACAATCTCAACCTTTACCTAATTGGTTTCGTCCCCACAACCTTACTTAGTTCACCCTCTTTCACCCATTCACCCATGTATTTCATACTCTAACAAATCCATTTCATTCCTTCGCACCAATCTATCTCGCTCCCCTAACCAATCCATTCCACCCCAATCTATTTCATCCTCTCAAACCCATTCATTTCATATTCTATAATGAATCTATTTCATTCCTTTTAACCAATCTATCACACTCCTCTCACCAATCTATTCTACCGAATCTATTTCATTCCTTTTAACCAATCTATCTCACTCCTCTCACCAATCCATTCCACCCCAATTTATTTCACCGTAAGTAACCGGTCTATTCAGTCCTTGCTAACCTATTTATCCCATCCCACCCTAGCCAATCTTTCTCATCTCTATTTACCAATCTAGGTCTATTTCACACTTTCTATAGACTTAATACACACTTTCTGGATAAGAAATTATATCCCCTCTGGTCAATCTATTTTGTCTACTCTGAATAAAATTTATAATTGGTTTAATCCCAAAGAAGGCCCAAGAAGGACACATTCAGTTCTCATTCTTTATCTTTTACATTTTCTTGTCAATATTATAATTTTTGGTACACAACTGATGTGCAAATTACATTAATCTTCATTTCGTAACTATACAATGCATTTGTGCAAGTACTTAAGAAGTCTTGTTAATAGCTAATAAAAAATAATGATTTATGAAATGGAAGTTATGAACCACAACTAACAAAACCATTTGTCAAATACCTTCCACACCCCGCCCTAGATGAATATATACGTAGCACAACTGCACTACTTCTATGTTTACATTTATGAATTTAAATCAGATCTAAACTCTTGTTTCCACAATAGCACACAATAAAGCCAAGCTATAAAGATTACATATACCTCATTACCATCAAGTCAAATTCAAATTCACTCAGTTCTATTCTCCAAACTGACAGAAAAATAATCTGAGCTTTAAGGATATATACAAAAAAATAACAACATTTCTATTATGAGGACATGATATGCCATAAAACAAAACACTGTATTTTATACCTGGAGCCTCTATCTTGGTGTAGTGATAAGGATTGACGCAAACCTCCTCCTTTTTGAGGTTAAACGCGTATGTGCAGTGGTCAAGAGCACGCAACTCGTGGTGGCTCTGTAGCTCAGGCCAACGCCACAAACGGCAATAGATAACATGCGGCAGCCCCTTACGGTGGGACACCTGCAGCCGCCCATCCAGTGACCTGCAAGTAAACACTGCGTCAGTCTTAGGTTCACGAGTTCAGTTTCAGACAGTGAATTCAATCTTACAACAACAATGCAATCTAACTGCATTCTATTTTCAAACCATAAATCAATCATAGACATAATCTGCTTCAACCACAAAATCAAATTCCATTACCCTTTCACTAAAACATTCACACTAAAAAGAAGCAAAAATATGGATGACAACATGACAGAAAATCACAAATAAGAAATATGAAGTTCTTTTTGTTACAAAATAGTAAGCAATGGTCATAATGGCAAAAAATAATAAAGAAATACCTCAAAGTCATTATAAACTAAATGATAATGATAAAAAACAATATCCACAAAAAACATAATACTCAGTATACATCACTTATATGATTATAACAATAAGAAAAATGATGATAGTAATAACACTACTAATAACAATAACAAAACATGTCAGCCCTAAGTATAAATATCATTATTATTGTTGTCATCTCTAGCATCACTATCATAAAAATATCATTAAAAAAAATAATAATCATCATTATCATATTACTGAAGATTGTTATTACCATGATGATGATGATAATACAAATAATGGTGATGATAATATGGCTTATACCAATAGTAACAATGATATAAAAAATAACAGCTACAATAATAATGATAACTAAAATAACAATAACAAAAATAAAAACAAACAAAATAACTACAAAACAATTACAATAACAACAACAAAAATCATAATAAAATAACAGTAGTCTAAGAATAACAATATCAATAATAATAATTATAATAACCAAGAAAGCAAAAGAACAATAACAAAATAATAACAGTAACAATAACAATAATAATAATGACAATAAAATAGCAAAACACCAACAATAATAATCATAATAACAATAACAATAATCACAATCATCATCATAGTAGTAATTATCATTAAAACAAAAAAACAATAAGAACAATATTAATAACAATAATGGCAATACCAATGGTAATTACCATAACTACTACAACTATTACTACTACTACTACTACAACGACTACTACTGCTGCTTCTATTAATAATAATCATAACGACCAAATCAACAACTATCCCTTTAATGAACAGAATCACAAGAGAAATTGCCAATAGTCATGTACTGCTCTTCATAATAACAACAATAATGACAATGAATATAAAGAGTGCATGTCAACATCCATTACATCAGTAGTAAAAATACTACTAATAACAGCAGAAGTCACACAACAGTTATACTAAAGCCATCACGATAAAGTTATACTAAAACCAATAATAATGATGACAGCAGTAATAAAAGCAAAAAAATATATCTTATCAATGATTATGTAAAGGTTAGCATTATCTTAATAGCTATCATTATTAGAACCACTTGCACTACCATCACTGAAAACAGTAGTATCAATGTCCATAACAATACACAAATTATGATAAAAAATAATAATATTCATGTCAGTAGTAACAACAAAAACTTTGCTTAAGATCAGAGATCATAAGATCATAATTACAACAATAACAATAACAACAATAATAATGATACTAATGATAGTAGTATTAATAATAATAGTAATAATAATAACAATAATAATGGTAATAAAAATAATAATAATAATAATATTAATAATAATAATGATAATACTAATGGCAATAATAATTATGACAATAACAAAAAGGGTAATGATGAAAATGATAATGATAACAACAATAATATTCACACTATATCTAGCCCAGCCTTTCCACGGTGGTAGTCATCAATAACAAATATATATATACATATAGGTATATATCTATATAAATTTGTATATATATATATATATATATATATATATATAATATATATATAATACATATAATTTATGCAATATATATAATATATATGTATAATATATATACATAATACATAATATATATATATATATATATATATATATAATATATATATATATATATATATATACATATATATAATATATATGCATGTATTATGCATATATAATATACATATATAGTATATATATTGCTTAAATTTGTATCACTTATATTACATACATACATACATTATATATATATATATATATATATATATATATATATATATATATATATATATATATATACACACAATTATATAAATATTTATATATATATATACTTAAAAGAAAGTTGGTGTATGAAGAATTGTTCATCAGAAAGCCAAATTATTGTAAATATTTCAGAAATTATACTGATGATGATAACAACTAAGATAAATGCTATAATTATTACCAGAACAGTATCCTAAAAATCATAATAAAAAAATAGCAATTACTATTACAATCATGAAAGTGTGTTGGATAGTTTAATAATTACTATTATGATAATGCAAGGATAATAATCCTTTTGAACATTTGTAAACGTGATAGTAATAATGGTGTTAGTGAGAAATATAATATAGTAATAAATTTAATTAACAAGTATAAAAATAATATGGACAGTGAATAATAACAATAATATATACCAATAACAATATGTCATGACAACAAAGCAAATATATCAATGGAAAAATCACTATAATGATAATGATAATAATCCTGATAATAATGATGAGGATGATGATTCTCATCATAATCATCATTATCATCATAAATTCAATAATAATTGATAGCCAGCAATAATAACATGAATAACAATATTATAAGCAGTAATATATATGATCATAAATAATTTCAACAATACCAATAATGATAAAAATAGTAATCATCATAATAACTACAATTAATACCAGTACTATTGAAAATAATTACAATAAAGATGATACTCCTACTGCTACTGCTACTGCTAATACTACAACTACTACTACATCTATTACTACTAATAGCAATAAAAATAATAACAATAATACTACTAATAATAACAATAAAATTAATGACAAATATTATATTAACAATGATGATGGTGATGATAATGATGATGATAATAATAGCAGTGACAACAAAAAATGTCAATGATAATTAATAATAATAACAAAAATGAGAATTATATCAATAACAATAACAATAAAAACAACAACAATAATAATAGATAATAGATAACAACAATTATAATAACACTAATAAAAAAAAACAATAATAATAATGAAAGAAATAATAAATAATAGCAACAAATAAAAATAACATGACATTAACAACAAAATAATTATAATAACAATAACAACAATAGCAATATAATAATAGCATAATAAATAATAAGATAATGATGATGATCATAATGATAAATAATAATAATAAATAATAATAATATAATAATAATAATAAATAATAATATAATATAATAATATAATAATAATAACAACAGTAATAATAATGATAATGATAGTAATATATAACAATAATAATTATTATTATAATACTAATAACAATGACAACAAGGATAATAATAACATTAACAATAGCAATAATAATAACAATAATAACAATAATACTAATAATAATAATAATAATAGTAATAACAATAACAACAAGAATAATAACAATAATAATACTACTACTAATAATAAACAATAAATAATAAATAATGAAAATAATAAACGTAACAATAAATAAAAATAATGAATAATAATAATAACAATAATCATAATGATAACAAAAATAATAATAATAATAATACAAATAACAGTAAGAGTAATAATAATAATAATAATAATAATAATAATAATAATAATAATAATAATAATAATAATAATAATAATAATAATTAATAATAACATATAATAATAATAATAATAATAATAATAACAACAATAATAATGGTAATGAATAATAAATGATGATAATGATAATAGTAATAACAATAATAATAGTAATAATAATAATATCAATAACAATATTGATAAATAATAATAATGATAATTCTAATAATGATACTACTACTAATAATAATGATAATAATGGCATATAATAATGCAATAATAATAAAACACTAACATTAACAATAACAGCAGAAAAAGCTGTTCCAAAAATAAGAAGGACGACCAGTGTGATATCTCCATACTAAAAACTAAGGGAAACAAAAGTAGGAATATACATAAATAAAAGAATCTGAAGTGTTTAATGGTTTTAAGATAATTGCTGATGAGAACTGAAGATAAAAGCATTAGATCCTCTCCCATGAGTGTCTCATATCACTCGTCAAATTAAGAGCTTGGATGCACATGTTATGCTGCATAAATTTGGTCTATAACACTAGTTGAGATCTGAATAGAGGTGAATAATTCACACAGAATGAATGGGTCATTTAACATTCTGTCAAACATAATAAATCCTTCATCAGCAAAAAAAAAAATAATAAAATAAAAAAAGAGTAAAATCAACAGGTCAAATAGTTCACCTTTCTCTGTGCCATAAATTATTCTTATTTATGTATTTGTTTGTTTGTATGTAATATGCTTAATAGTATGTGCAAGTATATATACACTCACACGGATAAAAGCACAAAGAGTAAATTTACCGTGGAACAAAGAATTACTCTCTCTGTATTTCTGGTTATCTGCCATAATAATTCTCTTAAAAGGAAGTATGAATACATTGTGGCTTCCCTCCCCTAACTGAAACCTTCTCCCTGCATAGTTATAATATACAAATTCCTGGTACTTTCTTAGCCTACTCTAACAACAAATTACAAGATGATCTATGGATACCTAAGTGGATCCTTTCTCACTTTGGCTGATATTTTGTTGTGTTATAAAGTCCACTTCTTGAATAGATACATGTTCTGTGACCTGTAATGTTATGTGAATTTGACCTTGTGTGAGCAACATGTTATACAGGGTTTCTGCTAGAAAAAAATGCATACTCATGTATCAAGGCATGCCTTAAAGAGTGGAAGGGTACTATCAATCTTAGTCCTTTTCGTGCTAAATCACAGGCACTTTTAATGAAACTAAGTAAGTCCAAATGAAGATGTCTGCTTTTCATAATAGTAATTCCATATCACATTAAACATTAGGATGTA